ATTCTCATAACTACACACAAAAGTACATCTCTCCATCCTAATTGTTGCAGACATAAAGCTCCACTCCATTCTCATCATTACACACATAAAACACCTCTTCATTCTCATTACGCACATAAAACACCTCACATCCTCATCATTACACACAAAAACGTCTCACCGTCCTCATCACTACACACTTAAAACACCTCTCCATTCTCATAACTACACACAAAAGTACATCTCTCCATCCCCATCTTTGCGGACATAAAACCACTCCATTCTTGTCATTACGCACGTAAAACCCATCTGCATCGTCATCATTACACACATACCGTCAAAGTCCAGCATGCCGTCAGAGTTTTTGTCTCCATCCTTCAACAGCTCATCGATCTCATCGTCTGTGATGGGCTCACCGCCGCTGCGGATAATTAAGGCGAATTCATCTCTGTCAATGTAGCCATCGCCGTTCCTGCAAGAAAGAGAAAAAAAAATTTGAATAGTAAAGATGAACAATATAAGAAGGTCACAAAGCAAATCAGAGAATTGGAGGATCGAGGACTTTAATCCAACCCCTGTACACAGTGTCAGAGGACATACTTGTCGAACACACGGAAACACTCTGCCAACTCTTCCTCGCTCTTGCCGGCCTGGTCCTCCTTGAGCAGCCTCACCATCATGACCAAGAACTCCTCGAAGTCGATGGTACCGCTACCTGGGGGTCAACAACACACTTCAAGTTTACTCACCTGTTTCCTGCCCACAATAGCGAGACTGTTTGCACACAGAATTGACACAATGGAGCTCTAATTAACCTACAATCTGAAATTATTTATTACATTATCAAGCAAACATTAAAATACATTAAACATATAAACACACGCCCTTTACTCTTCCCTCCCAACAAATTAGGGCCTTCAAAGTGCATATTTTCAGTTCATAAAACAATTTTTTGAACATGTGTCTGGTATTTTGTTTTGCTCACCATCCTCATCTACCTCCTCGATGATTTCATCCAACTCCTCTCTTGTTGGATTCTGGCCCAGCATCCTCATCACGGTACCCAACTCCTTGGTGCTGATGTCACCGCCACCGTCAGTGTCGAACAAGTCAAAGGCGGCTTTGAACTCTGGGGGAAACGAGATTAAAACGTGTTTCTGTCTGTTAGAAATTGTCTTAATTTATCCAGGATTTTCTCCCAGTTGCTCCTGATTGATGTTCCTGTACTCACCAGCCAGCATTTCCTCGCTCAGGTAGGAGCGGGCCTCCTGTTGTGCGTCAGTCTGAGGAAAAAAAAAAAAACAGGTGTCGCTTCTAAAATACTTATTTCAGGCTTCTGTGATTATTACGGTTCAACTTATATTCAGATAAACTCTTTTTACATGTTGGGTTGCCATTGTTGAAGTGCTGAAAATGTCATTTTCTTTAACTGGTGTCTGCTACAAATCATCTATTAGCAGATTTAACATGAACAAGTTTGCTTTACTAATATAAATAATTCTGTGAATGACTGGAGTGAATTAGCAGAGGTTAATCAGGTGAATAGTAGGCATGAAATCTTTATGTGCAAATTTTAGGAAATATTCAGAGGACAAAGAAAGTTTCGTTTTATTAGGTGGCATAAAAACAAAATAACTTCAATTAAATGCTGCTGTAAAATGTGGCACAGTCTTAAAAGAACTGGATGTGAGAATTAGTTGGGCTATTTCAGGCTCAAGTCATTAGGCTCTCTGTATAAGGCCTGCAGACATGCAATCCCCTGGAATTTGAAGCCTAAGCAGAATCCAAACTTTCTCAGTGCATCCTGCTCCCCATCTGCTTTCTACTCACAGCTCTGAGCATTTGCACATACAAATATTAATCTATGTATAAATTTCCCCCGCTAAAAATCTAACAATGTTATTTTTGATTGTAATATTTAGGCAGTTAGACATAAAATAACCAAACAAGGTAATTGAAGTGAATGTAGATCTAATCATCAGATTAAAATCTGATCATTGCCAGTCCAGTAAATCAACATCTCAGCAGCTCAGCTAAACATTTTTAAAATTGCTACAATCTTTTGCTTTTACTCAATTATTCAGAGTTAATGACTAATTAATTAACTAATGTAGTTTACAGATACATTTCTGAACAGTTTAACTTATTATTCACACAATAAACTTCTCTTACCATGTTTCTGGATTAGCTTCCCCCCAAAATATCCAAGGGTTAAAGAATGAGCCCAAAGGAGTGGTCAATCCGTGTACACCCCTACAGAGAGACTAGACATCAAGACAAGATTCAGACTCACTTTAAACACCTAGGTCCCGCCCACCGCTTCTCACAGGACTCCAGATTTAGTATCCTGAACTTTTAGGGTTCTGGGTCCAGGGCAAGCCAATCACACCTTGGACAGCGACCCTGTAGGTAGTTGGAGCTGTGCGCTTTAGATTGTAAGTAAAGCAGGTTTTTAGACACTTTTTAAATTTAGGTAAAGATGCACTTTAGAATGGCGCAAAGTCCAAAAACCTGTTTTGTATTTCAGTGTGAATGTCATCAAACTTGAAAAAGCACAGATAAGTCAGATGTAAGTAAGTGCTAGGTGTTATCATCATTATATGTTCCCGTACAACGGCAAAATTACTTCTCTGCCTTTGACACATCACACCTGAGATACACCCCAGTGGAGCAGTGGGCAGCTATGTAAGTGCCCGGGGAGCAATTAGGGATTGGGTGTCTTGCTCAGGGACACCACGACATGTGGGAATGGCGGGGAGTTGAACCGCAACTTTCTGGTCCCAGCTTGGCTGCCCTACTTCTACCCCATCTCAGCCCCTAAGAGATATACCGTATGTAGAGACGAATTCTCTTTGAAGAGCTACTTTACATTAAAATGTATGCATTAAGATGTTCCTTAGAAAATCCTCAAATCTGGTGCTCAACTCAAATAAACATTTCAATTCAAAAACGAACAAAACTCGAGTTTATTCTTTCTTTTCAGACTTTAAATCAATAGTCAAAGAGGGGGAGGCCTCTGCCTATATCTTGTGTTAGATTTCTAAGTAGGTTATTGGTGTTGCAATGACAAAGTTTTAATCTGGGTGTGAAATTCTAAACCAGGAGAAAAAGTGCAGTGGGGCAGGAGCCCATCTACAACCACAACCCCACCCTGAGTAGCAAAATTATTTCAGACAGAGGTGGAGCGACGCAGGCACCCACGAATCCTGGATCTGTGTCACCTGATGAACACAACTTGATCCTCCTGGTTTGGCTTGTGGTTCCTGAAGGGACGGGCAAAAGATCTCAGACAACTGAGCACCCAGGAGGAAAGGGGGAGGGTTTTTGCTTTGGAGCATGCAGGTTATATACCCTGAGGGGGACAAACTCTTCCCAACAGGAGAATAAACTCATCCGCTCCTTGACTGCCAGGGTTCAACTAGTCAACTGCTTGGCTTTGCCATGGGGTCACTGATTTTTATGCTAGGAGATGGCTAACAAACAGCTATGAGACTCACGTGGAGGAAAGCAGATTCTTTTTTTGTGCCTGATTTGATAGTTTGTGTCGGGTTAAACTAGGAAGCATTACGAAATAAGATGACAGTTCAGATGTGGCTTCTTTAACTTTAAATAAGAAGTGGCTGTTCGTTCAAAACGAGTGTGGTGTGAGAAGTGCGTGGTAGCTTTGTGTCAAGTGCGTGGAAGTTTTGTGTCTCGTGAAGAACTTCCTTAACTCTGTTTGCACGTTTGACAATCATGAACTAATCTAAAGGTCCCAAGTAGGGAGAAGTCAGAACTAGTGACACTGAAAAAAAGTTGTCGACGTGTGAAGCATGCGTGCAGAATAATTTGCCACAGGAACAAACGTTGAGGAGGAAATCTGGTTTATTAAAGAACATAGATCAGGGTGGGAAGCAGTTCTCGAGGTAAACAGGAGACGGGTGGGGGCTGAAGCTAGTTGGTGTTGCATTTCTGGAGAAACAGCTGCTGCCAACAGGACAGCTGGGTGGTCAGTCAGGGAAAAACGTCTTCATCTTAAAAGGTCTGAACTCGTACTTATAAATATCCCCAACAAGGCTCTGAGTTTCATGTGAGAAGGAAAAGAAGGAGGGGGACTGAGTGGAGGGGGTGAAGGATTTTATTTTACATCCATTTCCATGGCGTAGCATATATGTAGCGTTTAGAGTTTGATCTTTGCGGACTTGTGTCACATATACTGTAAGTGCTTTGTTTCTCTGAGGAAGAATCACGAAGGAATGTAAAGCTGGTCTCATTACTGGACATTTTCCATCATCTTCAGAAACTCTGCGGAGAGAAATAGATGGGGTCAGTCAACCAAGCCACCGACGCCAAACATCTTCAGTCAACAAGTCACAATGTGCACGAGTTATAAAGCAATACATGATTTCACTATATAATAAAAATCACATTTTCACATTATGACTTTTGTCACTTTCCAACCCCCCAAGATTTCTGCCCATGCTCGATGTTCTATTCTGTTGAAATATACTCTAACACGGGGCTGTGCAACCTTCTAGATCAAAAGAGTCATTTCTACTCTTTGTTTACTAAATAAAATGTGTCCAGAGCTGCAAAATCTGCTACGTCTATGAACATCAACTGGTGGCCCATGGGCCACTTCGAATTTGTATGAAGGTTTTTTTTGTCTTCCAGCCAGTGGGGGTGACATTATAAAACAAAAATTATACATAGAATATTGACAATATTTTTTCATTTTAGGGATTTTAGGCATTTTGTTGGATATGTAATTGTGACTTTTTACATTTTTTAATTTAAAAACAAAATTTCATATTTACTTTGACTTCAATTATGTTTATTTATTTATTTGATTCACCGTTTTCTTCTAGGTAATTTGTCTTTAAATTTAAATTCGGAGTTATGTTTGGTCAAAGCTTCAAGGGGCCACAGACCAAGGACCAAAGAGCCGCATGCGGTCCTAACAGGACTACCTCACAGCTTGAGTCTGGTCCTATGTTGCATTTTCACATCCAGAATTAGTTAGATAATCTTTTTTGATGTTGGTAGAGCTGCCACCTCTCAGCGAGAAGGTTGCCGGATCGAATCCCAGCCGGGGGCCTTTCTGGGTGGAGTTTGCATCTTCTCTCGCTGCATGCGTGTTTTCTCCAGGTACTCCAGTTTCCTCCCACAGCCCAAAAACATGCATGTTAGGCTGATAGGTAACTCTAAATTGTCCCTAGGTGTGAGTGAAGTGAGTGAATGGTTGTTTGTCTCTGTGTCCCTGTGATTGACAGGAAACCTGTCCAGGGTCTCCACTGCCTCCCCCACAGTGACTGCTGGATATGGGCACCAGTGACCAATGCGACCCAAGAAGGAAGAAGCAGTTAAAGATAATGAATGTATGTATGTATGGATGATGTTATGTTCATTATTTATCCACCTTATTCCTGGGGGCTCTACTGTATTATCGCAGGTACAACTTCCTGTCAGACAGGAAGTAGCAGTAAGCATTGGTTAACCATGGTAACGGAGCACGGACCACGGTTTATTTGAAAGTAATTTTCATTCAGTTTAGCAGATAAAGCACTGTTTTTGTTTTGTTGACATTTATTTAACAATCATAAAGTTCACTAAAATAGCCGTGCTGAGTTCAGGTACCTGTTGTGTTCACGGCTGCACGAACAACCAGACGAAACTAAATCAGCGGCTGCAACAACAGAGTTTTGAACACGGACCCAAAACAAAACCAAGAGTGTTCCTGTGAAAAGTGGTATAGTTTCCATCTCCTACCTACAGATGAGGAATTAAGAAGAAAATGTGAACTTGAAGAGACCACCCAAAATGTTGTATGTGAGCTCATTTCACTTTGTTGAGAAACGGCCGATGGAGGAAAACCTGCTTCCTACTTTGTGTCTAGGCTACAATAAGAGACGCCAGATCCTCAGATTGAAAACAGTGACAAGAATACCAGGTATGATTTCAAGTGTATGGAGGGCACAGCTTTATAGCATTTGTTTGTCTTCAGTATTACAATTTTCTCTGCAATTAACCCAAGCTAGGTGATGTGGGACTTTAAGGTTTTGGCTGGGCTCTATGTCTGCTTTAAGGTAAATGAGATTGTGTCCCACCTCTTTTAGCAAAACCCAACTGATCTTATTACTGTGTAGATACTAATACACCTCATATCTGTTCAGGTTGTTCATCACTTCGCCATCGGAAGAACCGAGTTAGTGAAGTAGCTAAATATGCTAGAAGATGTAATCTGCAGCCACTTCTTCAGGTCGTCCTCCATCCCTCGTCCTCAGCAGGCAGCGCTATGATTACATTGTCCTGTTTGAGCTCTGACAGGTGGCGTTCCTACATATTTAAATTAAATCTGCAATGCTCTGAGAAACTACGTTAGCTTGTAGTGTGTACACATAAACAAATGCCGGTTATGGTCCGTCCCGGAAGTCGCGCCCATAATTCACGCAAGGCTGCACGGAGCATAGGAATAAGGTGGATTGACCTAAATTAAGTTTCAAATGTTTCTTTTCTTGCTCTGTCTTGCATTTGGATGAATCCTGGACCATTGTTTCAGTTCAGCTTGATTCCCTCTGTTCCTGGACTTTTGTCTACCAGTCAACCCTTCTCTGCCTGTCTGTTTGGAGTCTTGGGTTTGGATCGCCATCAGGTTATCAAAGACCACACGAAGACGTCCATTTCTTCCAGATGGAAAAGGTCAGATTTTTGTTCTGTTTCTGGTCTTACAAATGTTTCTCTTTCATTTCTATTAAAAATTAAAATGTAAACCTATATAGTGTCCAGCAGCCAAGTAAAGAAAATAGTTTGGTAGCAACACATAAAACCACTGCTTCTATAGCAAAACACAGAGAGAAAAATATTTTCTTAAAATTTTCTAAAATGTCTTTATCCTTCGGGTAAATACAGATACTTTGGTTGTTGCTGGAATCAAACTAAATATCTGAAAACGTTAAAAGGATGTAAAAGTTCAGTTTGTTGTTTTCTCCTGTGGAGAATGTAGACGACCTATTGCCAAACAGCTCAACCTTACCATCAAAATCAATTTTTCCATCTTTGTTTGAGTCTGATTCTCCAAACATCTCATCGATATCTTCCTCTGTGACCTGCTCTCCGGTCATATGGAGGATATCTCCGAATTCTTCTCGGTCAATAAAACCATCTCCGTTCCTGTAGGTGAAAAAGCATTTTTTAAATTGTAACTTTTTTATTAACTTTTTCTATTTCACCTCACAAACACATACAATATTTTAATTATTTTGTTCTGTTAAGATCTTTGTGTTTTCTGTCTCCACTGTTTCCCCTCCTTGTTTTCAGCTCCTGTCTCACCTGTCTCCAATTCTAATCACCCCAGGTGTTTGTCATTATGTCTCGTTAGTGTTCCTATATATTCAGTATATCTGTTTTTCCTTTGTCTGTGGATTGTGCTCCAAAGCCTGTCATGTTTTGTTCCTCTTGTCATTTCCTTCATTTAAGTTTTGCTTTTTGTTTGTGCTTGAATAAAATGATTTATTTTTACCTGAGAGCCTCCCACATCTGCCTGCGTGTGGGTTCAACATTAAAACAACAGATCATGTCAGTATTAAATAAAATAGGTCATGATTTAAAAGTTTTATGGTAGTTTTCACCAGAACCTCTACATTTGTCGTTATAACTCTGACTTGGTTTGAATTAGGAAATAATGACATACATTATAGGGATTGTCACAAAGACTGAGTAACCAAGATAAAAAAAATTGATTTGAAATAATTCATCCTCGAAGTAGAAGCTTTCCAGCATCACATAAAAAGGATGATGTCACTGTTAGTGAAATGTGTTAATTATGGCACACATTTACATTTATTTAAAAAGACTGAAATGTTTAAGTAATATTTAGTAACATTTCTTATTAGAGTTGTTTCCTGCGAGTGTCTCACTTGTCAAAAATACGGAAGCATTCTGAAAGTTCTTCTTCGCTCTTTCCAGCCTGGTCCTCTTTTAGCTGTTGGACCATCATGACCAAGAACTCCTCGAAGTCGATGGTGCCGCTGCCTGAGAAGACATGAAGTCATCAAATATAAAGTGGTCCTAAAAAGGCCATTCTGCGTCAACATTTATTAATGTACAGTAATGCATTATTATGTTTTTAGATGTAATACATCATTATTCAAACAGAAAAACCCATTTTTTTGTAAAATACTATATAAAATTTAGAACGAGCATGTTACTGATACATTAAAACAATTCAAAAGTAATTTTATGCTTTCCGTCTACATACAGGATCTATGTACTATTTATACACAAAAAAATAAACAGAATATTGACACTGCTGACGAGCATTTCTAAATTATTTGCATGTTTGATTTGTGAATGTATCTTGGTTTCTGTTCATCTTGTGGCTCTTGATCTATAACATTCTCCTTTTCTTCATCTTGTTCCTATGTTTTAGTGTCATGTCTTTTTCACTTACTGCTCTGAAAATTATTAAATCTTAAACAGGAAATTAAAAGTCGCTCTTTTTTTATGTTTTACTTAAACACAACTTTTACATATGGATAAAAAGAGTTGGGTTTTATTTATTAGACGAGTGTAAATGCATTTTTCTGTCTTATGATCAGGAAAACTTGTGTGATCGCGGCTCCTTAAGCTCAGGCCCGATAAGACTGAAAAGATCAGAAACTGTAATCTAATCCAGGAGTTCCTAAACATTTTAGCTTCTGATCCCTCCTCAACTTTGGATTTCATAGATTTTTCCTTTACTAAGATGAATGATAAAAGTTGGAAATGTACACTAAATCTTAAATTCCTCAACAGTCTTACCATCCTCATCCACCTCCTCAATGATGGCGTCCAACTCCTCTCTGGATGGATTCTGGCCCAGCATCCTCATGACTGTACCCAGCTCCTTGGTGCTGATGTCACCGCCTCCATCCGTGTCGAACATGTCAAAGGCAGCTTTGAACTCTACACGGGAGAGAAAAACAGAGTCAAACAAAACCCAATAAAGACATGTCGCTTTTTTCAAATGAATTCTCTGAGTCTAATACAGGAAAATAGACAAAGTTCCATTTTATATCACTTGACATTTTTTATTTTTCAACCAAAATTGATCAAAGCTTTCCTGGAAGGAATGCAAATCACCCGCCTTGCATGCTGTTCTGCTTACAGAGTATGTAATGAGAATGACTATCAGCTACTACCACTCGAAGCTTTAGCTCAACTTCTTTAAAACCAGTCCAGTTATTGTCAGTTTATGGTTTATCAGCTGTGGCAGCCATCTTTAATCAAGCTCACTCTAGACGTTGGTCAGAAGTCGTACATCCAATGATAACTTTCTGGGAGCTTCAAGGAAATTCATCTGATATTTTGCTAACAGACAGGCATTCAAATAATTTTAGACACATGTGATTGCTTTTCATGGCGATAAAAAGAGACAAACACACCTGTAATCATCTCCTCGGTAAGGAAGGAGCGGGCGTCGGTTTGGGCATCAGTGGGCTGAAGAGGAGACGTTAAAAACGGTAAGAACGATGAGAAGATACAGGAGACATCGCTGGACCAGTTGATAAAATTAGAACAAGAAGAAAAGCACTTTTTTTGTTGCTTTTGACTTCTTTTTTTTTAACAGAGAAATTTACCACATCTCTGACTCAGCACAATAAATCCACAAGAGCAGAGCTTCAAGCTCAAAATATGAGCTGAACCTTTTTGCTCCAAACGACTCACATTTTTTTAAACAGATGAACTTCAAGAAGTTCTCATTTAAAAAAACAAACAAACTGATTTTCAGCATTTTCTTTGAGCTTTTAAAAACTGAACTTTGACAACGTATGGTAACATCTGAGCTCATGTTTGAAAGTTTAGCAGGTTTACAAAAATCCAAACAGCTTAAATCATCCCTATTAACCATCACTATTAATGCATGACTTGTCTGCAGATTTCATCATTTAAAAACACACTAACACTTGTCAGACACTCATCAAAAAATGTGTTCATTTTTATCAAATGTTTCAGCTTTGCTGTTTGTAATGCTCAATTTTTGCACTAAACTCCTTCCTGACCAGCTTATGTTGCTTTCACATGGATTGCAGGAGCTCTAGAATTTGTTAATTGATGCATCTGAGACTTAAAATGGAGGTTTTGAAGATTCACCCCATCTCCATTTTGACTTGAAGGGCCTCACCTTGAATTGAAATATGAGCATGACAGATCCACTTGGATCTATTATACACTGTCTACAGAAATACTCGCAGTGGTTCCCAACCATGGGCCCTGAGGAACACCATCCTGCATGTTTCAGTTGTTTCCTGCTCCAATACGCCTGATTCAGTGATTTAATTACTTCTTCATGTTCTGCAGAAGTCTGTTAATCACACGTTCATTCAAATAAGATGTGTGAAAGCAGAGAAACAAGTAAAACATGCAGAATGGTGTTCCTCAAGGACCACGGTTGGGATCCACTGCTCTATGGCAACACGCTGTTATTTAAAGGGACTGCTTTGTAAAAATGTTCATTCATGCAGATATTACAAAATCCTCTTTAGGGACTTTTTTTGTTTTTACTTTGCTGATAATGATTAGCTTGTAGCACACAACATCCCTATATTACAGCACTTTAAACACGGCGTGTGAACCGAACTTTATAAGAGTTGGTTTAGATTTCAACTCTCTCATTCAGAAACATTACTTTGAGAGTCAGTTCTGTCTTGTGTCTTTTCTTTGGGTTCTTGTGTTTGTGTATTTGTTTCCTGGCTCCCACAGTGTTTCTTCCTTCATGTTGTCAGTTCCTGCGTCACCTGCTCCCAATCACCCCAGGTGTTCGTCATTATGTCTCGTTAGTGTCCCTATAAGTTCTACGTCTTTGTGTTCCCTTGATCTCCAGTGGTCGTGCTCTGTCTCCCCCAAGTATTTGCTGCCACGTCAGCCTTTTGTTTTAGTCAATAAATTTTATTCTTTATTTTATTCCTGAGTTCCCCACGTTTGTCTGCACTCTGGGTTAAATTAAAGCAAGACAAACGTGATAAATACCTTGCAAATAAACCTTGCAAAGACAAGTTTTGGTCATTTGTAGTCCTTTTTTATGGTTAAAAACAAGTAAGAAGCTGCAACACTTCCTAGTTTTATTTACTTTTAATAGTTCAATAAACCAGTATTTTTATTAATTAAAAGTTTTTGTTTTGTTTGACATTAGGAGCATGAGTGACTTGGTTAAATGGCCTCTTCTGATCGATGGGCAAAGTTTTTTTTTTTTTTTTCAAGCAAGAGTATACCTGCAGTTAACAATTCATTTTCTGTTATAACACTTTCTGATGCATTTGCTTGAACTCCTAATAAATAGGCTGCAATTAGTTTTTGCATTTTCATAAATCTTTAGCAGAAACTAAAGAATCAGCTGGTTCCTCCCAATCTCTCCCAGCCTTTAAAATTGAATTTTTTGTGCACGTTTCATAATAAAAAGTGCAGTAAATACCATTAAAAGGCATGCATTTTTGTATATATATGTACTGTATATATACTGTATATGAGCCAACAGACGATCAGTTAGCTATCACAAAGTGACGGGTAAAAATTGGAAATAGCATCGAATCATTAAGACGTCAATTTTAATCCTCCCCAGCTGGTTAAAATGGTGGAGATGGTTCTTGAAGTTAAATGCCACAGAGATTAAACCATGCTATTTTCAAACTGGGGAGTGTCATGTACACATTTCTGTGTTGGAACAACATTTGCAAAGCTTTTATACAAAATCAATTTCAGTTCAGTGTTTAAACTGCATTTACACACTTTCAAGATTAACGGGTGAATAATGTTAAATTGTGTAATAAAGTTCAGAAAACTTGCAAGAGAAGCATTCCTGAGAGCTGCTTCACTTTTGTTACAGCATGAATATCTGACTTGGACTTGATATCTAAATTAGTTTGCAGATTGAAATCAAATTCCCAGCAGTTCAAAAGAGACAGGTTATTTCACCTTTCTCACAGTTTTCTTGACACAAACTTAAAACTATCGCAACAAAGAAAAGGCCACCCAAACTCCCATTTGAGTTTGCTTTGAAGCTATTTTAAAAGGTGAGACTTGGGAGGGATTTGCTCAAGGTGACATCCCAAATTAGAACAGTTGAAAAGACGGCATGTCTTCTCACTTTTCTCAGCTGTTTGCTTTATGTCTTCTGTTCCTCTGCCTCCGTCTTAAACAACACCGGGCTGGGTTACAAAGCGATGGTATTTAAAAGCAATAAAGGTCTTTATGCAGATACAAATACTGAATTTATCAGTAAAAGTTATCAACAGCAGGTTAGTAACCAGGGAAACTACTTCGTCTGCGTGTAGCAAAATTGCTTCTAAGTAAATCAGTGAATCCAATAAAATAAACTCCACTTCTTTAGAAATCCATTTTTTTCCAGATAAGGCCGTGCAGATTGGTTGCAGCTGAGCAGAACACCTTCATGTAATGATCTCCATCCTCTGTCCCCATCAGAACCAAACAAATCAAATCCTAAAAGATCCGGTAAAACTGAATGCCGTCCTCTTGTCTTTGTTTATCCCCTTCTCTCTGTTTGGATTCTTACCATGGTGGCTGGCTGTCCTGACCCACAGTACAAACAACAAAGGGTGAAGAAAGAGTCTTCCTCCTGTACAGTTCAGGTGGATCTGTGACTTTGTCCACACTGCATAAGTACTCTTTCTTCCAAGCCTGATTTCTTTACAATTGATCAGGATTGGACCATCAATGTATCCTCGGATCAGAACTGGCCAATCAAAACCCAGCTTTAGTCTGTGCCTTCTTACAATCTCCTGATGGACATCCCCTTGTGTGGTAACCTTGCCAATCTCCCATATTTAGATAGTGCATAAGCTCTCTGACATTCATAAAAAATAAAACACAGCCCGAGCATCAAGCAGCTGGGGGTTATTTTGGCAAAAGTTCAAGTGGGCATTTCAGTGCAGATGGATTCTTGGTTTCATATACTGTGCAAGAACCAGAGAGTGACCCTTCTTGCATACACCGAACCTATAAATGCATGGATTAACACCTCACTGCATGAACTCCCCTCACAGTGTCTGTTGACTCATCCATCTGCCTGCATCACTGTCCTCACTTCTGCTGATTTGCCCCATGCATCTGTGACATCTGTAATGCAAGAACAGTGCAGGATGTTTTATGATCTCAATCAGCTGCAGTCTCCAAAAAATTAATAAAAACTCTGAAAAACAAGGCATGTTGTGTAAAATGTAAATGAGCACTGAAGGCAATGATGAGCAAGCCTCATAAACCCATAGTTTAATGACAATGAAAAGTATTGAACACGTCGTGTCTGTAGTATTCTACACACAAATGTAGAACTAAGAAATATAACAGAAGAAAAAAGTAATTTACAGGTAGTTTTGAATTTGTTGACAATAACACAACTTAAATAAATGGGTCAAAATACTGTAAAAGTAATTGGCATGAATAAGAAACTGGTGGGAGATTAATTTGCAACCAATTAGGTTAGAAAGAGGTTTATCTATCTATCTATCTGTCTGTCTATCTATCTATCTGTCTGTCTGTCTATCTATCTATCTATCTATCTATCTATCTATCTATCTATCTATCTATCTATCTATCTATCCATCCATCCATCCATCCATCCATCCATCCATCCATCCATCCACC